AAAACGATATTACTATTAGAAATGTATATTTAATGATAACTAAAATTTTAACTTTTGATGCAGTGAAACATAGGAAATAAAAGAGCGCGTGCAGTGAGTGGTGATGATAAATGATTGCATTTCAATATCGGATCAATGGCCTGTCTCCACATTTGGTACTGAAAAAACCCCACGGTCTCGATCTCTCTCACCCATCTAAGTACTCTATGAAAATTAAAATTACATAATTTAGAATTCTTGATTTTAAATAATTTATTTGTTAAGAATAAATATATATTTTAAAATTATATTATTATTAAATATTTTTTTTAAAGAAATCAATAAAAGTCATATAAATTGAAATTTGGAAAGTATTTAGTATTGGCAAATAATAAATACTTTTTCGGTACCTAGTTAATTGTTATCATTTTATCTCTAATTATGAAGTTGGTGAATTAAACATTTAAGCTTTTCAAAAAAAAGTTATTTTTTTAAATAATTAATTGAGGGTATAATATATAAAAAAAATTATTTTTTTATTTGTTAAAATGAACAAGTAACTAGAAATAATTTTTATAAAAAAAAGTAAATAAGTAATTAAAGGGGGAGGATAGCTTCTTGCACCATGCGTCTTGGGACTAGCTGAAGATTCCAAATCTTTTAACTATATTATGCGAATAGTATTTAAAGTGAATTAAATTTATTTATTGATTTTTCTAAAAAAAAGAAATTAAATACAAAGAAGAAAAATAACAATTATACTTCAATGAGTGAACTTAATACAAAACAAAAAATATATTCGTAGAACGAAAAATATGATTGAATTATGAAAAAATTTCTTTGAAAGATGTGACTACTTAACTATGCAAGACCACAAGGGTGGCCCTGGCTTCCTGGCTTCATAAGATTTTTGGTTTCATTTGAATGCACAAATCAGTACTACGAAGATATAGTTGTAGGAACTAGAAAGTTCATAACACACCATAAGTTATTTGTAGTAAGTAAATTGGATGCCACCCTTGTTTGTATTGGACATAATAATATACTAGTAATAGTTTTCAAATTTGAAGTACTTTGATTTTGATTGAAACAATTATATATGATAAATTGACGAAATTTCACATGCGTAATATAAACTTATTTATTACTATTTCGAGCAACACATCTACATGACGTTTTTTCTTAAATATATATATATATATATATATATATATATATATATAGTA